GAGACACGCCAATGGATGAAACAGTGTTTACAACTAGAATTAGAGAACTTACAATCTTACTCGTGAAAATACTTCAAATGTTAGACATGACTGACTGGACAAGAGATGGGAATACAAGATTTTACCTCTCTTCCCTAGGCACTTTGGATATGATAACTTTGAACATACCCACTAAGAGGCTTATACCAGTTTTCCGGATAGCCTATTGCAATAACTTTCTGGATTTACATACACACTGAGCTTAAATTTTCTAATAATAATAGGCCAAATTTTGATCAAAGCTGATAAAATTGATTTTAGTAGTATAGTGACAAAGTGACCAAGAGTCATGAAGTTTCTCAGATTGTTTCTGTTCGGTAAAAATAAAATCATAAAAGGTAAATAAAGACAATAAATAAAACAAATAAGTTGATAAAATTGAAAGTCACCCCAGCTAGAGAAATCACGCGTGGCACATTTTTCTAACATAATGACTTGTCATCAAGTTTGTAAATGACATTTAAGTGTAATAACTGTGACGTAGTATTTGAATTTTTTCATAGTCTGAAAACCGCGTTTTCCTTTGTTTGTTCAAGCCAAGTGTCAGTAACATACTTGCTATCTCCCATATTCATGTATGTCAATGTGAATTATGAAATGCAACATTTAGATTTACTCAGGTATTTGCTTGGATAATTTCCAAACTATTATTACCATCTTTGATGAAGTCAACAGTTCTGTGTTGCCTATTCATAGTCGTGTGCTCTTTTGTATTGAAAGCGAAATGAACTACTGGGTAATAAGGTTGATTTGGGGGACATATAGTCATAAAAGACACTTGAAAGTCATCGCAAAGTCATACTTTTCCGACTGAATAAAAGGACAAATTATGAATTAAAAAACGTTTTGTTGAATTTCTCCAACTTAGACAAAAATAACAAACAGCAAAAACTTCCTTGAGAAGTTTAACTACTTCAGTTTTGATACAATAGACATTAAATAAATAAACATTATGGAAAGGTTGATCAGAAATTGAAACTTCTAAAAGACACAGAGGTGGTAAAACTCGACCAATTTAAATTGAATTTAATCAGGAAAAAAAGAGAATTATGGCTTCGGTCTTCCCAGAGAACAGTTTTAATTCAAGAGAATAGTTCGTATTTACTGTTAATTTATTCTAAAATGCTTCCAGTAAGTTTCAAATTCTTCATCAATAACAGATAATTAACAGTGTTTTGGATAACAGTAGCTTCTACACATGCTATGAAAGCTTCAAAATTCTACTACGTTCCTGCTACTCATATATTAAATTGTGACTATTTTCTAAAATTTTAACCTTCCGCAAGGTGATGTCTACCAACTGTAAGAATATTGCATGGAAAAACTTACGGATCACAACTATGCAAACATAAGTGTGTAGTCACATGACGAGAAGTACGTAAACTACGATGACTCTTTTTTAAACAGCAAATTGTTCTGACTCCACACAAATCTACATTAGCACTTATAAAAACAATTATCATACTCACAAATATTCCCATCTGTTTAAATGTATTCACTGGAGTAAATGGAAATAAGTTGTCGCAGAATAAACTTGCAGTGTTTTTGTTTCACTATACTTGAATAGGTCGAATTGAGGAGATCAGTTACAGTTTGAATTTCCTCATGTATTTGATCTTTGTATTAGAGGAACGGCGTAACTATATCAGGTGTTGCATGTGATTGATGTAAAAGTGATCCACAAACTTTTCCACGCAGATGGAACACGCGTTTAAGGCATTTACCATTACTGTGCAGGAAAACATTTTGCGATAGTCTTTATCCTCAACCGTCACTAAATCATAAATGAAATTGCGAAAGGCTTTTATTATCAGGTTTATTGTGTTTTCTGCTGTATACTGAATTTGCACATTGTATTTTGAGTGCTGACAGACATTTACGATGCTATCAAGAAAAGGTTGGAAAATTGATTGACAAATCATGATCTCTTTCTCTAGGGCACAATTACAACGACGAGATCTAATTTCACTAACACTTGCAAATGAATTTCAGCGTTTTCATGAATCGCCAACACACTTCACAAGACAATTAGCTTAGATTTCGTAAACTTCGATATGTATTCATATGTTGACATAAATCATATCAATCACATACTCATTCCTAATATCCATCATCTTTTAAATGCACAGAAGGATACCTTTTTGCTTTGTTTACATAAATGTGGTAGCTATCTTGTCTTGTACTGAGTAATATTCTGATTGCTTCAGAGCCTGTAAAACTATAGACTTCCCTATAAACGTAACTATATTAAAAGCTAACAAAAAATAGCACATTTACACTAAGTTGAAGACAGTGTGTTCAAGTGTTTAGAATTACAAGTCACACAGTTTTAAATCTTCAAGTATTGGTTTTGTAGGGATTTTGTTTGATTGTTTGGAGAATTTTATCATAAACTGACATCACTTGACACCATGAGCCACTGAACTGGGTCCCAGTGGCTTATTGGTCTACGAGCTCAATTTGTAACCAGATGGTCCTGAATTCCAACCCTGGCGGTGGGTGCATACTGTGAGGAGTCCTAAACTAGGACGAAACATCTGTCCAGTACTCCCAGATTTTCCACTGGTTCTCTAAGTGATGTCAGCTTATGGTGAAATCCCTCAACCAGTCACACAGTTCTACTTTTTATAGTTTTCCCTTTCTGAAAGCTTGCTCAGAGGTATTTCCTATGCTTCATTTGTTCAAATTGCTGCTAGAAGCATAACCGCATAACATTCTAATCCCTTTTTCGTGGCTACGTTGATGTGATTCTGTGAATGTGTTTTGGGAGAAAAAAAGGATGAAATTTAAACAACGGTTAAAATTTATGTAAAATTTATACTCGTAAAATCTCACAGAAAATGAGTAATTACAACGTTTTGTTCGGCAAACTGGTTCGAACTTATTCAGGGAAATTAATCAAAATTAAAGTAATAAGGGTATATATATGTACAGAAAGGACATCTCTCGTCTTTAAAACGTTGTCCAATCATATGAGTTATGAAACTTTGCTTTGCTATCAAGTCACACTTCTGGCGCCATGAATGTCTAGATACATTAGCAATCAGTATTCGCCTGTTTGTGTATAAAGCATAATTCGCCAGTAGAAATAGTAATGAGAATGACTGTATGAGAATCTCGTTATATCACATATGCTACATTTCTACTTAAAAATCTTGCTTTATCATTTAATTAAAAAGGAACAACAGAAGAATGAATGACTATCATTAACAATAAATAGATATCTAACAGATCTTGGAATGTGTGCTAAAAAGACTTATAGTCGATAATGAAATGTGTCAAACTTCTTCCTTACATGTAATCCATATTCATAGTTGGTTTATTATATGTTAAACACAAAATTATGCTTCGATTGCATAATGAAAAATGAAATAGGAGACATAATGTGTAATGTTCTTTAGTTTTAAAGATATTTTAGAAGCATTGCGAGATCAATAATGACAAATCCAAGAGCATGCGAAATAAAATTGTGTTTCAGGCAACGCTTACACCGTAATATCATTAGCTAAACAGAATTTCAAAAGAAAAACCCTGTTCTAAAAGAATTTATGAACAACTACTGCTACTAAAATCAATGAAGTAGTGTGGCAGAAATAATGGGATTGAGCAGTGCTCATTAAATATGGGAAGAAATAAAATTTAAAGGTGTATTATGTATAAGCCATTCTAGAAGATTTAGATATAAGGGGAAAAACAAAGAAAATAAAAGGCATTGAAATAAGACAATTCAGATATTAAAAGAGGAAGGAATTAAAATAGTTTTTTAAAAAACAGACATACATTGGACAATAGATTGTCTGATATTTTTGATGACAAATATTTTTTTGCATTTATTTCCTTCAGTATTTAATCTTAGTTTTCTTCTGTTTATTCTCCAGGTCTGTTTGCCCTTATATCTTAAAATTATGCCTCTTTTTTCTTTGCATTTATCCATTTTTATTTCTGTAACTGTAGTTTCAGTATTTTCTAGGTTTGCCTATCAAAACATGCTTGGAGGTCATTGAGGATTTTGGTTCTTGGTGGGCTGAATTGAAGGCTTCATATCCAGCAACGTGTATAGCAGTGTGAACCATTTATTTAAGATAAAAAGGCTCTTCTTTCGTCTTTAAAAGCCATTATCCGCTAGATCGTTAAATAGCATATTATTATTTGGGTCCATTAGGATGTCTCACTGGTTTTGCAACATAGTATATATATATATATATATATATATATATATAAACTTAAAAGCGGTACAAATAGTCCACTAGGGATAGCTTATGACAAGATGAGTCTTTTTTAGTTCTTCCATTCGGTTAGCTTTAAAATCAGCACAAAACTGCCCGATAAATACGAGTACCATTCTACTGTTTGATCCTACCTACAGTCATTAGTTTTCATCTGAGATTACGCTTCACCTCTTTAAGTACATATCTTATGACAATGAAACAGTGCATGGCTCATTAAGTTAGTTATTTTTCGGTAAAACATAAACGCTGTTGGGGAACTATAGCAATCCTACTGCTGATACATACCATCATATCCTAACATGGAGGATAAAAGTGGTTTTCTAAGAATATATGAGACTGATATCAAATCCCATTGTGTGGTTTTTCTATTTAAATGACAGACTATACACAGCAAACAAACTGGCTACTGGTTGAAGCAATGGAACCCAGGAATCGAATCGATAATTTCTTTGCTTTTAGTAATCAGAAAACAATAAAATGAAAATGCGGTTTTTGCACATCTGTAACTATCATTTTAACAGGCTTTTATCAAAATACTTTTGATTGTTATACCTATTTTGACATATACAATTTATTAAATTGCAATAAAAAGGTGAAGAAAAGAGTCCTATTTCGATCAACATTTATATTCCTTCAATTATCGATTGACATTTGAACAAACAAAGGATAAATATCCTATTTTGTTTATTATTTTTATTTTCCTAATTCATTTAAGCAACACTACCCGATTAGTTAAGAAGCAGCCACTTTTTGCTGAACAGGAAGATATAATTTGAACTCTGGTGGTAGTTCACTCTCCGAGTATAACCGGTCACAAAAGTAAACTCTTCTTATACGACAGTTGGCGTGAATCTGAAAAATATTAAAAAATATACGGAGCAATAAATAAATTACGTAAAGATAAAAACATCAATTTACGTTTTAATTTTACGAGCAAATGGCTCTTGGAGTACTGTGCTTCAGTACAGTTAAAATCGTCAGATTAAAAATGTGAATGCAATATGTCCAATAACATATTCAAAGTAATACTGTACAATATGAGTCATATACCCACAAATTTTTCGCATAAATTCACAAACATCTTTCGATGCATATTGTTGCTTTACAGAACTTCCATCTTAGAATAGACAGGTAAATAAATACTACTGGTGCGTGAAATTCGAGTAGCAATAGTAGTTGTATTTCTTATTACATCACAGATAAAGTGAATTCTGCAGTCATTGGCATGACTAGAAAAAATATACGTCTCTGAGAGAACAAGAAAACGTCTCTCTTCCACGAGAATTCCTAACAACTAATGACTAGCATCATTTGCTTTTTAAAAATATGATATTCATCAGGCATCAGTATTTGAGCTGTTGGAGTTGGTTGAACTATTTTTGCTTATAATAAAATGAAAGCTTTGACAAAATTATACTAAGCCTTGCAATTCTCCATTGGGAATTAGTTAAAGTGATTAGCGAACGTATAGAGCTACAGGTCAGGTGTGTGTGTGAATTATAACCAGTCTGAACACCTCCTGAAAAATGGATTGCTGAATATATAATAGAATCGCAAAGTAGACAACAAGAGAGTTGAGAATGAATTCAAATACCTATTGCCATTCCTGTCTCCTCTCCTGGTCTCAGTAACACTTGCATCAACATTATTCATCCCTTGGTTCCCGGATGGAATACAGAGTTTCATAAGCACATCGCCAATGTATTCTTCCCACTATTGTCTTTCTTAGCTCACTGGCCACAAACTTCATTTACTTCTCAGATAGCCTTCTCCACGTCAACCTCAGAAACCAAACTCACCAACTCCCATTTTGGCTTGGCGTATGATTTTGACGCAGTACCTCCTCATTGCATGCCTAATCAATCTCCATTTCCCTATATAAATTTTATGGGCAGTAATCGTTGTCTGGTTGGCTACCGGCCAGAGTTCTTTGTTTCTTGTCATTTGTGACAGTGAAGACAGGTGTAGATGACATCGGTGTAAATAATTCAGCTACTGTTTCTTATTCTGGTTACTAAAGATCTCCACACTGATCTCAGAGTCATAAACGATGCCAGTCTTGCTTGCCTAATCCTGACTAAGTTTGACAGCCCCATCGTTGACGCCTGTAGTTGAAACAATGCTGCTTGAATACGTGTGGGAAGTGCCTTCCTTCAAACTTCTCCCACTAATAGTAATTGATATTTGTTGTTGTTTCTATCTCTTCGTCGCAACTGTCTACCCGATGTTTACTTGAAGCACTTTCTTCGCTGCTTCTTCTGACAACTTTCTGGAAGTTGTTTGTAGATTTTCGAGTTTGTGCAACATTAGACACAAATCATCTGTGAAATCCGGACCTTCTATGGTCATTCTGTCAGTCCAGTGTATTCCAGTCATTCCACTCTCCATATTCTGTTGCATGATCCGGTCAACTACAGTCAGGAGCATCATTGGCGGCAGCAAGCAGCTTTATCCCACTCTTGTCTTCATTTGGAAGACTTTGCTCAGCTTTACGCTGTAGATTATGTTGTAAGTGGCATTATCATATATCTAGTGAATGAGGTTAGTGAATGTTCGCGTACTGGTGTCCGTAGTATTCTAGCAGCTGTGAAATAATTCCAAGGTCGAAGATTTTTTTCAAAGTTTATGATATTTAATGACAGAATTAACTACCATTCTATACCATGTTCAATGAGTATGGTTCACACATTTATCCTTACATTCCTATCTTCATACCTTATTCACCTCATTGTGTGAAATCTCCTATATCTTCGAAGACACTTTTAAATATTAAAATCAAGCCACAGAAGACTGATGGTGCAATTCACCTTAACATGACGAATTTTTTATAATGTAGAGTTATTTGAATAGAAGAGGGAGCACTAAAGAACTTCAATCAAAAAGGAATCACACGAAAGTACTGATTCCTTTCCATACATGCTTCTTAGTGCTAAAGTAGTCTGTACAGTGTGACAAATTTAAGATTTGTACCGAGGCAATAAATAATTTATTAAAATCACCAGTCTTTAGGCCCGAGAAATATTCCCATATCATGAGTTATAAGTCAAACTTTAAAGAGAATTTTCTTCCCAATAAATTATCCTTAGGTTTTTGTAGTTATTGAATGTAATGATTGACCCCACAATAAAGGCAAGTTAAGCAGTGGACACCTTCTTGCGTTGAATAACAGATTCAATAATGTGTGACAGACTTGCTGGGTTAAATGGGAAAAAATGGTGGCGACTAGCCAAAAGGTGTAGGAACCATTTCAAAGGTTCGTGGGATTAGGCACATTCATCTACTGATTTGAGAATATTTACCAGCTTGGTTGAAAAAGAGGGGTATCGAATATATTTAAAGTTCAATTCTACCATACGTGCTGCATGCAGGACATGGCACTGACGTTAACACAGCCTTCTGATTTATATACCACATTCAGAAGTCATAATCACTCACAGTTCGCCTACGTCTTCTACATATAGCTGATACTGCTGTCATGAGACCAAGTAAACTGGGATTTTGTATTCAAAAGACATGTTTCCAGGCTTCGTTTCTACCGCAATGAAACTTAGATTTAAAGTTGTTCCCACTCCCCTCCGAAAGCATCTTTTCCTCATCCCTCTTTTTGCTTTTTTTGTTTATTTCTTATTTCCCGTCCTCTGTGTTTTAACAGTTTTAGTTAAAATGTCTCATAATTTATATCCTTCATTCTGACTTTCTTTTAGTGCTGTCGAATTCTCCATTTACACTACTCCAATTAATTACTAGTGATATTATTTCCTTTTTCAGTATATGACAGCATCAGTTTCATTTCACATATTGATTAGGTCATGATAAACTCCTAACCATAGTCTTATTATCTCCTCTTTAATGCATACTATTTTGTATTAGCCACTTACCTGACGTATTTTACAACTTTAAACTGACTTATCGACTTTCCCCACCATCGTCGTTTTGCATTTCACAATATTTTCTGATTCCATTCAGCCCAGCACGTTAGTAACATGCATACTATTCATTTTATCACCCCGATAAGTCGTCTACTATTCTACGTAAGAATGCATCCCTCGTACAAATTACCATTACTATAGGGATAATCATTACATTTTATAACTGTGAGAACCTGAAGAGAATTCATTGGAAAGAATATTATTCTCTCGGGCTGACTTTTAATTCAATAAACAGTCTTTTAACTTTATGTCGCGGCACTGAGAAAAGTTCTTGAAATTAGTACTATAGCAAATGAAATAAATGAGCTAGGAGTTTGAGTGAAGATGAGGTATGATTTTTGTCAACGGCTTTAATGTGTAATCTAAGTTCTTAAGACTTTCAAGAGAGAATCATATTTCCCCAAAGTTCCCTCCTAGACTCGACTCTGCTTGAAACGACAAATTAAAGATAAATTCAGTAAAGTTTGAAATAAGAGCGAATTATGCGCGCATTCATGTGACATCTTTATGTCTTAAATAAATGGTTTCCATATTTTAGAAAAGACTGAGTATAGTATTTTTAACATGAACCTAAAAGGTCTGAAGAATTATTTTGCATTGTTTCACTTCTGAAACACTGAAGCAGGAAACTAGCAGTTTGCCCATATGTAGTATAGACCATATCTCTACTTATTATTGTTAAGTAGTATTTTGTGGTTCAAATTATGAACCTGCCTACATTTGTCCAAATAATAAAGGACTGTAAGTTTTCATAACCTGAAAGTCAATGGAGTAATTTATTTCACTCCATTAATAGTAAAATTACTATCCTGCTGGTAATAAATATGCGGGTGTTTTAAACAAATAAATGTTTCTATTCTGAGTTTAGAATTCATATATTACAGCTGATTACTATTTTATGCGCTTTGCTTTCTGGATTACAAATCATTTAAGCAAGAATTCTACCGAAACTTTAATCTTTGAATTAAAATTCCAGTTTCCCAATTAAAAAGCCTTAAATGATTGGATAAACCGTTTAGCAAGTGACTAATCCGAGTTGATAGAAATACCACTGAAAAAACATGAACACTAAGAGTTTCCCTCATGTTAAGGAATCTACTAAATATCAATGGCACGAAATACTCCACCCTCATGTTTACTACAACTTACTTTATATGGCAGTAAAGCAGTGACCATTGGTTGCTGAAGAACTGTAATAAAAATACTTCAAGTTTTCCTGTTTCGCCCGAAAGTAGCAGAACATACTTTCAAATGTTTTGTTAATAAAGGCGACTAGCAGGAAGTTCTACTTACTACCATTTGGTACCAGTTGCCTTAATGAGATAAATAACCCCACATAATCCGTAAAAAAGGTAGCCACTGAAATGACTGAGAGCAAGTGATGCTAGAAGATGTGCAAACATTGTGATGTATTCTGTACTTAAGTAAGAAGTTGGTGTGCGGGTGGAAATTACTTTGTATTCCTTCAGCTTTGATATTTCACTGCAAACGTTTCATCACTAGATTTGAATACATCTTCAGAACTAACTTCATGAAGAAGGGATTCTTGTTTACAGTCTGCACAAATATTTAGCCACTATTCTTCCTTTCATTTAAACCTTGGCCAAATGTAAGTGGGGTAAGAAAACTTTGTCATTTAACATATTGACCCTAAATTTTATTTAGTCACTCAACTACCAGTACTTTGTTGGGGTGCAAATCTCTTATACTTTTTTACTGGTCTACTTCATTTGTTTCCAGTTGATTGAAAGAAAGTAGTCTTCTTTCTTTTCAGACTGCCTATGTTTACGTGTTTGCTAATTGTAGTTTCTAAAACTCCTGTTGCCCCCAGAATTCGCTAACAAGATGTTACAACAACAAATTAAAAAATACACCCAGACATAGTGTTGATAGAATTTTTCTACACGATCTGAGACCGTAGATAAAGCATCGTTTCTCCTCGATAACAGCTGAACTGACCAGTACAGTATTACAGAAAGTCTATGGGTTTGATTTTTCAGACTACATCCGTCTTATTTTTCTTTGGTGACAAGTATTTCGTCATACACAATAGATTTTGTAGTGACTTTATTGGTTTATGTCTGAATTCGGTGCTGAATGGATGCAGTAATTGACTGATGGGCCCTTAAACACACTTGATGTGGGAGTAAGCTCATGTCATTGTTCCTTTATGGCAACTTTATTGCTGAGAAACCACTTTTGAAGGATTTATGGGAAGAATCATAAGCACTGAACAATTTGTAATAATGGTCTTCTTCAGCTTTTTGAAGTCTTTGTTGTAATTCGATAAGATCTAAGACCATTAAATAAGCCCGAGCAAGTCTAGCATAAATCCAGATCCCCAAAAACATCGCTGATCTCAATCTAGTCATTTTGCCGTATGACGTTCTTGTCCATTATAGAATCACTTCATTTCTGTTATCTTATATTGTGTTTTATAAGGTATGAAAGCTTGGACTGATGTACTTCTATGAACATCTACCATATATACTTTGTTCTAAAAGGCTCTATCCTTATTTCTAATAATCATCTCTCAGAAGGTGTGATTTTCATGATTTTCTTTTTCTTTTGTAATCTGAATCCTGTTGACCATCTAATTTATGAAACAGAACATATTTTTATTTTATCAGCTTTAAAAATGACGGAAGTATGGTCGATATACCTTATTCGAGTTTTGGATAGTATTCGGTAACTACATATCCCTTCAGTAACCACTCTTGCTATTCAAGATTAGAAGAGTTATTCTTTCAGTTGTTTAACTCTCAATGAACTACAGACAACATGCAAGGCACTTAACCTTATTAGATTCGAAAAGAGACTTCCAATGATACTTTCTTTTATGGTTACGTTTGGAAATACAGTTGAAGAAACAAAGTATTTCCTACATTTATCAGCCATTAACGCAAATGGCGATTTATGTTTACAGTTCTCCACGAGATTTGCCTACAGTGCAGTAAACTTTTCGATCCCCTGGATTAACCAGGAACAAGATTAACTACAAATAAAAGTCCTTAGATAGGTTGAAAATAACCATGAAACTGTATTCAGACTACATTTAATGGAACATCTTTTTTGTGAAAAACCTAACGATCTTTCCGAATTTGTACAGTTATTTTTATCTATTTTTTGATTTGTTATACTAATACAAACGCCTCTGGATAAAGATAGCTCCTAGATCCATGGACCGGAAGTCTAATTCGTACATTACTGAATTTAATTATAAAGCTATGAGGAATAAAACCTTAAAAGTTTAAGATGCTTGACTAAAATAAAATACAGTCATGGATATTTAGAAGGTTTCTAGCTAACGATCAGCAAACTGTCAACCAGATGATTAAGTACTGAGCTATTCTGTTTGAACTCACTGGGACATTAAAAAGCGAGGACGTTTTATAGCCTTTTACTACAAAAGGGTTGGGCCAATGTCAAAACAAAAAATTATTGCGTAAATCACATATGTATTCATGAACCATTCTCAGACGGTCGTTTGAATTTATTAAGATGATGTATGCTGAGACAGCAGATATATTCTGATGATATCCGTGTATAATAATAGCGATTTGGAGTGATTGCTCACAGTGAAGACATTTAACCTCAAAAACTACGACACGTTATTCCAGCTGACAAATCTTTTACATCGTATGAAAGTAATCTATATACTGATATCAGTTGTAAGCCTATGTCACACCTAATACCTACTGGGCTTCGTCTAAGATATGAAGCTCCAGTGGCTCAGTTTCTTTCAAGATAAAACAAGCACGTTAAGATGAGTCTATCTGAATGTGAACTGAAATGACAAGCTAACGTTTTAATGCCTTATGGGAAATAAAGACTTACTTATTCTACGTCATGATAAGGTGGTGTGATATTATATTTATGCCTTAAAAACGATAAGACTTCCTGTCTTTACTGTTTGTTCCCTTATGCATTGACAATACTCGCAGAATACTACTGCACAAGATTCTTTTTATTTATTATTCTTCATGATTCCGAGTTGAACGTTAGAATTTAACACCACAGCCTCTGAAGTCCTCCTTAGCTGTCTCGCGGCTGCCCATAAGCTCTCATCTCCTCCTGAAGCAATCTCCTTCATATCACTCTCAAATGGTCAACTCGTAGTTTCCTTTCCAAGTTCCATTCATTGCTGTTGCTCATGATGCTAGTCACTTTTTTCCCCAGAATGCGTCCAAATCACCTCCGTTTCCTTTTGTATATTATCTAGTTCGTTTCCAGAATCCTTTGTTACTTATCCTTTTTGGTGATCTTGTTTCAACATCGAAAAAAGGTAGCCACTGTTAAAAGTCAGCAAATGTCTGAAAATGCTTTCAGTCACTCGCTATATATGTGAGCTATACAGGAGCACTGATTTGAAATCAGTGCTGAAAATTCGTGTCCTGCATCTTATTCTTGTTGGTGTGAATGTCTGTCTCTGTTTCGAGACCCTGAATTCTAGATATTCATTCGTGACACTTGTATTTGAAGCAACCTTGAAAGAGTTACACTCAAATAGATTTCTCCCAATAATGGTGCCTGATGCTCGTCATGTTTGGTTGTATGTTTTCATCCCTTCTTTGACTAAAGTCCTACCTTTTCTATATATTCTGCAAGTTTGTTTGTGCTTTTTCCAGATCTTCAATATCAAACACAAAACATTTTCGAAATCTGGATTCCTTAGACACATTCTTTCAGTACAACGTAGGTCAAATTGTAACTAGTGATCTTTCTTCCCCATTTTGTTTAGAAATATTTTGGTTTTCTGTCATTTTTATGTAACACCAAAAACGTTACTAAACTTGATATATGAAAAATTGTATGAATTATTTACCAACGACACAATCAACATACTGTTTCAAGTATCGAAGAAATGTATCATTATTAAAAACACCTACTTGAACTCTGAGCGTCTCAACATAATTTGTCCCATAAGCCCGCCTTGTGAAGTCACATAGATTAAACTGAATCTGGTTCCACCCCTCATCCAGCCTCATAGGCATTGTACAAATAAAAGGTTTTACACGGGTGGTGCTCTGATAGTTGCTAGCTCTAAATCTTCTCCGAATTTTCTTGTCATCTAAAATCTTACACAAAATTCTTACAAAAGGTAGTGTGGTAACAAACCAAAACCTCGAACGTAAAGTACTTTTTCAAGTTTTTAATTATCATCACAAGGAAAGGCAACTTTATACCCAAGCTTTTCTTCGGTTCGGCAGGACAGGTAACAAATGTTGTACTGTATGCATTGCATTCATATAAAAGACGGTTACCTTACGTTTGTACCCATTAACTCAAGAACGAGTGATTGAATGTCGTTGTCGGTTATTCTTTTTATATGTCCATTCATGACCTGTTATCTCAAAGGTGATATTTTTAAATTTTAATTACGCTTTTATCCCATATTTGCAGTGGTTTGCTGCCAACGCTATAGAGTATAGATAAAAACCCACTCTGAAAGGTATTCTTGAACATCTTAACAAAGGTATGGAACAATACAAAAACCCTCTGAGACAGTTGTCAATAACAACAAATGTCACCATTGGCTAAAACAAATAATTAGTTATTTAAACTGCCATATTCCATCAAATCATATTCAATTTGTTTTCGAAGACATTCGTGAGTTGGAAAGTATTGTTTAGTAACTACTTTACATAAAACGTAATAATTTGTGTGGACCATCGACTGATGATAGAACAATATTCGACGTCGGATCAGTTTACCCAATAATCCATGCTTAACATCTGTTTGGTGAGATTTATTAAGTTCATTGCTTTTTCAGCAATCATTCATCGATTTTAGACGATGGCAACAGAAGTGAAGTACAGAAAATAACTATTAGAAACAGATAGGCTGAAACATGTCTTCTGTGTAGTCATTTTCGGAAATAAAGTGATAACTGCGACATTCGAGATTAAAACAGTTGTAATCCAGAATTGCAAGATGAAATTGACGAAAGTTTTGTGCAAAGGGAATGAAACAAAGATACTATAAATTCAAAGACAAGGAATGTAAGTTAAGAAGGGTAACTGTTCTGCCCCTGCATTTCCATAATAACTAGACTGTTTCTTCAGAAGACGTGCACAAACGTTCCGAATTACTGTATAACTTTCCTCGAACCTGTCAGGCGGAAGAACAGTGGTTACTTTGCAAACAAAAGGCCGTGAAAAATAAGTTAGGCCACATTAGTAGATGTCGTCTGCCATTTCCATAGGAACTGGCTTAACGGCTATCGTTTGGATTCCCTTAAGCACTGCATTTTATTAAACAACATTAATAATAATAATAGTATATTCTCATTTTTTACATGAGAGACGCCAGTTTACAGGCATCATCAATATGATAAATTACATATACGATTAGCAATCATAATTAATAATAATGTTTTAATAAAATACACATTTTTTCCTACTTGTGTAGGACACACCAAATATACAGGCATGGATAAGCATTATATAAATTTCATAAATTTGGTTTATGGTTAAGTTACATGGTTGCTGGCGTTTTTGTCTTAGGTCTGTGGGAACAATATGATAACCAGTCATTCAATGGAGCACGTCATGAAATATAGGAATATTAACTTCGCATTAACAAAAAAACCCAAGTAAGTTTTGGATGGATTAAAAATACTTGGGAAAAAATAAAGCTTGAAGTAATTCCTCAATATAACTTGGGTGTGTACAAATCCGAATCTTATTTTTGATTTGATTTATATCCAAATTGGGTAATAAGGAAGCTATTTTTACAGATACGATCAGTTATGTTATAAGCTACAATCGTGACGTTGTATTACAAATAGATACTTTTCCATTGGTATAAGAGTATATTCCACAAATGTAATCCAGGTTGCGTCGTGGAGAAAGTTAATTCGTTATTAACCAGGCAACTGAAAGATACTGGACCAATAATGTTTGCAGATCATTTGTCATTGTAAATGGTCAAATATCCACATTATTCATTCTCATTCAAAAAGTCAAATGGAAGCTGAAATGGTGAGAGAAAAAAGAAGACAAACAACAGCAACGCAAAAGAAAGCAACGGGAGTCCTTAAGGAGTGATTAATAAATATATACATATATATTCTGTTTAGTAACTGTGGTTATTTTGGTACACAAACTAACTAGTCCCGTTATGCTAACTTTTATATTATGTGTAAACTAATATTATTACTGTCCTGTGTAGAAATGTTAATCATCTAGTTCCAATAATATTAAAATTTATAATTGTAGTTTGTTGTAACTACACGTTTAAAGAACTTAAAATATCTATGTAGGGTGAAAAAGAAGGTGTAAGAGTCAGGCGCAAAAGTGCATTGTCATCTTTGAGTAGTCTGGTGACTGAGGAGATGAACACTGGAAGTGTGTTTGCATCGCGCACATTAGCTGGTAGTCTATTCCAAATGACTGAAAACTTATTTAAGAAGAAGTTGTACCGCACGTAAGTCTGACAGTGCTCCATAGCAGCTAGGTTGTGATGATTTCTAAGATTGTAACTGATGACAGCGGTAGGTTTAGTTATTGGCTCGGAGGAATGCAAGAGAAGATTAGTTAGCTTATAGTAAAAGATAAGGTTTAGCTTAAGGCGTCTTTTCCAGAGGGGTTCTAATCTTAGTCTTACGCATCGCTCATGGTATTCCAGACCACTTTCTAAACCAAGAGTTCTTGAGGTAAACTGCCGTTGCACTCCCTCTAATTTAAGCTTGTCATTTTGTCTTAGTCCGCTAAGAATAAACGGGCAGTATTCTAAGATAGGTCGGACACATACTTTGTATAATAAAACCCTAGTTTCACAACAAAAGAAATTGCGTGTTATGCATCCTATCAGCCTTCGCGTTTTACGTCTGGCATAATCAGTCTGTTCAGCGAACGTTAGGTTACTAGAGTATCTAATACCGAGATCTACGACTGAGTTGAGCTTAGCTAGTTTTCGCCCATTTATTTCAAGAGTTAGATCAAGGTTACTGTTGCCAATACAAATCCAGCCGCATTTGTCAATGTTAAAATTTAGACAGGAATCAGCACACCATGATGCGAGACTACTTAGTTCAAGATGTATTTTAGTAACCATATCGCTTAATTCATGAGTGTAGCAGGAGTAGACGACTTTGAGGTCGTCAGCATATAGGAATGGTTTGCCTAAGGTGAAGCACTTGCAAATGCTGTTAATGTAGATTGTGAATAAAAGTGGACCTAGGACACTACCTTGCACGACCCCACTTGAGATCTGCCTAGGATGAGACAATACAGATCCAACTTTGGTTATTTGTACCCTGTTGCTTAGAAATGATTTTAACCAGTTCAGTAATGGGTTGCGAATTCCACAAGAGTACAGCTTCTCAAAGAGAATACTGTGAGATACCATGTCAAATGCCCTAGATATATCGAAGTAGAGAACAACGACTAGCTTACGTGCTTCGCGACTACTAGTGATGCAGTTGAAAAAGTCGAAGTGGCAAGTAACGCAGGATCTATTTTTGAGAAATCCGTGTTGAGACCTTGTAACAAGATCTTCCCTAATTAGGTAGTCTGACAATTGATCTTTTACAACTTTCTCCATGATTCGTGAGATAACTGGGGTTATATTTATGGGTCTGTAATTGCGGACGTTTGCCCTATCACCAGATTTGTAATGTGGAATTATGAAGCTAGTTTTCCACTCACTAGGGTAAGTGCCAGTGTCCATAGATATTGAGAAGAATTTAAGAAGTAACAAGGGTATATCACACCCACTGTTTTTGAAAATTATCGAAGCGACATTGACACCACTTCGATTTGCTGTTATTTCCAGACTCTTGACTTTCTTCAGCAGAATTAGCAGCAGTCACTCCTGTCGGTTCAGTTTTAGGCTGTATGCTGAACACATCAAGGAAATTTTCTGAGTAATCAAACTTTATTACTGTTAGACTTGGAGTACTTTGTGAACGGTGACATGGGAGTTCAGGTAGTCTGCAAATGTACAGCATCGTGAGGCCGCTGCGCTCCATCTATGTGGATAGCGCTGTCACTTTTGGTATTACGCATATTATTATTTTTGTTCCCTTGGGTTCCTAGTGGTTTCAAATGCACGTCTCCACTTGCTGCTGTTTTCTGTTGTGCTTGTCACTTGCATCCGTGCTAGTCTATACTCTTTCAACTCCTCTTCACACAATCTCCTCGATTGCGCATATACCAACTGTCATTTACAAAAATAAGAGCAAGTATAAAATTATCTGTTATTTTGTCTGTTTTCAGCTGGTCTCTGAGTTATGACTGCGTTGTCTTCTTTCGACATGAAAGTAATACATCCATTTTGTCTCCCAGTGACCTGTGAACTAACTAGGTTTTCATTAGATAGACAAAGTGGGACACCAGAGTTATTCAGGATTGTTTTGCACGATGCAGAATCATGGATAGCGTTAATTCAATATGAAATCATGACGTGGGACCGGATAGTTCTCCTTCATTCGAAATATACATTCACCTAAATGAAACTTCACTGCATCCACATTGGGGACTACCTGCGCGTACATTTCCTTCTACAGTGGCTTACTCCTATTCTCTCTTTGTTGCACGTGAAGCATGTGAAACGAAGAGGGAGCTATGAGAATCATAGTGACGGGACGGTTTTGCAACACCTATGCTGGTGACCAAACTTATTCAAGAAAAGTTTTGTCGCAGACCTAAATGTCTACTTGAGTGAGTACATAATGGTTCATTCACCTTAAGACTTCTCTGTCAAAAAATGACTCCATTTTAGATTGTTTGACAATCTGTTTAAGATTCGGTAGTAACACTTGAATATTCCCACCCTTGACGACACAGGTAAAGCACTCGGATAGCAGTTTGTTAATCCTGTAACACGCGATAGAAACGGGCCACACGATCGGCTTTCATTGTACAGAAGAGTTCTGGTTCATGTGAAGAAAGACTGACTGCAAAAACCGTTCCCGAACCTGTAAGACCCTTTAGTTATGGTGTAATATAGCCGTTCATTTTGTAAGCGAAACTCAGAAAAATACAACAAGCAACCAAGTAGGAACTATATCTTTTCTATGATTTGTAAGGCTTTGTTAGTCTATTGAATGACGAATTCACTTCAATTTGTTCGGATAGGTATTACTTCCTTGCCTTACCCTTTGCCTTGCTTTTGGTTGATAAATATCATCGTTCTTCTGCAACATTAGAGGCTGCTGCTCGTTCTGATAGAAAAGTTCGTTTCAAGATTTGTAGACCTGTTTTTTGCTAACATTTTGCCTTCTATGTACCGTTTAACTGACTGCCGTCTATGTATCTGTTCTGTTTACTCTTCGGGTTTGTTGACTTATTATCTGGTACGCATTATCTTCTTCTACATTTTTGTTCATTAAAATGCCTTATTTGCTAAACATACAAGGTGACTTCAAAAACTCCACTTCCGTGGAGGTGTATTCTTTGGTTACTATCAAAGTTGAGTTACCTGAATGTGATTGACACTACCCGGAACTATTGTGTGCTGAATTCGAGCACTACCCTGACCGGTATTGCATTAAATCCGAAACCACTAGTCATATGAATGTGTGTCCTCGGACCGTCCTCAGACTGGCAAAGAAGTGCGGGAGCCACACACAGTGTTTGAATAAGAGAAGATAAAATACCTAACCATGCCAGAAAACCAGCCTGTACAACAGTTGATCTAAATGGAGAACATGTGAGATATATCCCAATCACAGCTCTTGCGACACGTGCAGTGGCCTAATGGGACAGTACGTTGGAAGCGGCTTTACTGAAGTAAGGTTCTATGCAATCCCTCCCGTAGTATGTGGAACATGCACTAGTAGCGCAAGATCATTAATCTCTTCTTGAATATCACGGGAAAGTTAAACTTTCGACACCACTAACAACCAATCAGCAAGCGGCCTTGAACGAACCAATTACATTAAAGAGGCATATATGATTAATGGAAATGTTTATTTATAGAAAAAAAGCACAAAATAGAGAATGAAAAAGTTACATGGGATATCTTTCTCGAACATGTGAGAGAAACATCTCCCAGCTTAGCATGGGACTGTCAATGCTTTTTCATCTGCTATCCTTTCGACGAATCCCTTTCGGAGGGAGGTGTCATACAAACCTATTACCCAAATATTGTTCGTTCGCTAGCGACCACGGTTGTATTTCTTTTTTACCAGCACTGTCTCATCGACACGCACGATAACGTCTTCCCCACCTAGCAAACAAGTGATTTTCCCCATTTTCCATGATGCGATGTCTCTGCAATGCTTGTACCACTGAACTGTTGAGACATGGCTATTCTCCATCTCGGCAGCTGCTGCTCTCACAGCCTGTTTCAACACCCATTAGTTGCAGATATACAAAATCTGGGTTAGGGAGAGATGCGACCTAGTGAAAGTAAGTTCCTACGAAATATTAAAATTATCAGCTTACCCTCTCCAGACGAACAAACCCATCAGTTGATTTGGTATAGCTTTTTAAAGTAATGATACACCACACAAACAAATTCGCTCTTTCCGGAGCAACTCAAATCCAGGAAATAGTGGAAAACACTAACCTCCTCGAATTGCAACTGTAGCGTTGTAAGGTCACACATTAGAAATGAATCAAGCGCTATACAACATTGAACTGCGTTCGTGAACCTCATTGGATAATTCGACATCGTTCGTGAATCTCATTGGATAATTCGCTGATTGGTAGTTAGTGGTGTCGAAAGTTTAACTTCGCCAACATCACTAATCGGATGTTGCAGAACAAACGACATACAGAAAGTCGAGTGCACCGAATGAATACGAGCAAAGACCCGATAATCTCGGAACTAGTGGCCAACTTTAAATGACTAAAGAAACAACTGACAAATAGTAGATGAAGTAGACCATTTAACAGAGCAGGTTGTCAGTCAAAGAGTAGGTCTAAACAAACTAGGTCAACAGGCTAATACTGTTGATGGCACTGCGAGTTTGACGCACCGTCAGTATAATGCATACAACCATGCGCCTGGCCTAAACTCCCTTACAAACGACAAGGAATGATTAGAAACTCGGTAAGTGACTGCTGAGAAGAGGTTTCCAGACAGTCACCCATTTCATGTCAAAGATAAAAGCTCTGCACCCATATCCCCTCAAAATAGAAGACAAAATCAGGACGATAAAAGTCTCCTGCCACGTTACATTGCTCCAGTAAAACCGAGGTCTTGATGTTCGGTTGGAAAACACTGACCCCTGACAATGGGTTTAAGAGACATTTGCTATCGGTGTTTTCTCTTGCGAATACAGACATTCTAGAGAGATATCACTCATTATTGCATACTCGAAAGAGACATTTTCTAGTATACTAATCGCGAAAGGAACGAGCAAAATTTGCTGAATCTAGTCCGATTTCCTCCAGAGTCAACCGAAGGGTTCCAGAAAATGCTAAAGGAGTTCCCAACTCTGACGGCTACCAACCCTCACTCCTCCTCAGATTCACCCGAAAATTATTCATACTATCAAGACAGACGTCCATCCAGTATTTGTTGAGATAAAAAGACTGACCTGGACAAGGAAAATTAGTGCATGCTGAATACGATTACATGCTTTAGTTGGAGATTATTTCGCCTTCGAGTAATCAATGGGCTCCGCCATTACACATGGCGCTTAGGAATTATCAGACAGATTGGTACATTTGTAGTGACTACAGAGCCCTAAATCAGCAAACCATCCCGAGTGGGCATGCAGTACACACATATAGTGTTCCAGGAGTCACAATATTTACTAAATTGGCTAAATTCGCGTCTGTCACAAATCCCCTGTGGTTGAGGAAGATAGAAGTGAAACATCCATTACAACGATTTTTGAAAAATATGAGTTCATGTTGATGGCATTTAGTCTCCGGAATGATGCACGAAATTTTCAGAGATATACGGATGCTTTTATCTGAGTAGTCAGTAGGTTTTCGTCCATCGGCCCCCGGGACCTTTTAGATAGGGTCAAGTCAAACTTTAAGCACCCATTACCTTCTTCCTCATCTATATCCATATCTTTTCACACACTCGCGTTTCACCTTTTTCCCTATTCTGGTTCGATGAAGCAAAGGTTCTTAGTTCCCAACAGCTATACTACCACTTGTACCTAAATGAAATTAGTTTGCCCACTGCTTTCCGCAAGGCTATAGAGGGTGAAGGGATATATCTGATGCACTAGAGTCCAACGAAGACTTTGAAGTGTACCACAAAAGACTCACAAAGAAGTTAGTATGCCTGCATACACACACCCTAAAACTATTGAACATTAGAATCAACAGTCTGTTTTTGAATGGCAAGACGGTATGTCCAATCCAAGGTCACGATGAATTTCTGTGTTAACTGGTTATATGTTTTCTTGAATGCTATCGTCGGGGATTCTAGACAACACAAGCCCAAAACGAAACTACCTCCAGCGAGCAGTCAGATGAGTAATAAGTAGATGTGCGTAATGTACAATAGACGTTCATACGCAAGTAGTGTTTAAAAGTGGTTACATAGAATAGTATTCTTCTATTAGTTTCAAAGAACTCTCACAGTAGTCCTCATAGTCAGGTTGAACCGATTTCTGTACATAAATTCATTAAGGTCATCAATCCGCTCATAAGGTAGCTTCGTTTTGGGCTGCTAAAGTTTAGAGTCACCCTTCTGCCATTGAAATTTAAAGGTTTTTCCTGCACTTTTTGGGCAACACTAAAGAAGAGACACCAACTGCGGGCTACCCTGAAGCAGCTAATCAGATTCTTCTAGGTGGAAAGTGGTACTTAATTCATGAAAGTATGTACCTATGACATATATGTTATAGGAATGAATTATACGGAGTATATATCTGTAATATGCTGCAAGAAATGGCACCAGTTTGTCATAGAAGTGTTTATAGACATATGAAACCAAAGTATTCCCTATTTCTGCAGCTTTAGGAGATATTGGTCGCATATACGCAATATATTACTGAGGGGATTTTCGATTTCGAGAAGATTCAGATGATAAGGATAGAATGCTCTTGTGGCCTGTGTTAATCCTTGCAAAGTATATCTCTGCAGAGATCTAACTTCTCTTTGAAAGCGTTCACCGATGGAGCTGATACTACTGAATCAGGTAAGGAGTTCCAATCGTTGACCACTCTGTGAGAGAATTTAAATTCTGCACGTGTTTTAATCGTCCTCAGTTTGAGCACCTTTTTGCGGTGACTCCATAAATGTATCCTAGAGGGAGAGAAAAGGTTAGAAAGGTCAGTTCCTAAATCACCCTTAAGTACACGGTATGCTAAAATTAAGTCGCCTCTCTTCCTTCGGTATGATAACGGGAAGAGATTTACATGCTCCATCCTCTTATCATAAGGAAGGTGTGAGATACCACTAACTAATTTTGTTCCTACTCTCTGTACTCTTTCCAGAATATGTGCCTCTTTTTTGAAGCATGGACTCGTCGCTTGTATGCAGTATTCTAGATGAGGCCTGACATATGTTGCGTAGAGTATTTGGAACATACCCTCGTCTAATCGTTTGAAAGCCCTTCGAATTGCCCATAGCATTCGAAAAGCTTTAGCTGCGGCTGCATTGCAATTTGTAGTTGTTTTCAAATCGTTGCTGACAATGATTCCTAGGTCCTTCTGTTCTTTAACATCAGGTAGTTCTGCATCCCCTAGGGAGTACGACGTATAAGACTTCTGACCTAAGTGCATTACCCCGCTTTTCCTAGCATTCATTTCCAAACTCCATAGGCTTGACCACTCAGCTAATTTATCTAAGTCATTTTGTAGGGCCAACCTATCCTCGTTATTGTTTACAGTTTTCCATACCTTAATGTCATCTGCAAATAATAATGAAGATGAAGAAAGAATCCCTGGTAATTCGTTAACGTATAATAGGAATAGCAATGGACCTAATACAGTTCCCTGGGGCACTCCACTGGATACTGCTTTCCATCCTGATAGTACACCATTAACTCTAACCTTCTGCCTTCTATCCATTAAGTAATCTCTAAACCACTCACATAGGCATTGGTCTAGTCCGAAACCTTTAAGTTTACTAAGGAGACCTAAGTGGGATACTTTGTCGAACGCCTTGCTAAGATCAATAAAAGCCACGTCCAACAGATGGTCCCTATCTCTGGCCTCAACCCAGTCTTCCCTAGCCAATAGTAGGTTTGTCAAGCAGGATCGTCCTGGTCGGAATCTATGCTGTCCCACAGCCAACAAGCCATGTGTTTCAACATAAGCTAATAGTTGATCCCTTATAATAGTTTCCAGTACCTTTGCAATAATGCATGTCAGACTTACCGGCCTGTAGTTAGATACCAATTGCCTATCCCCGTCCTTGAAGATAGGGCTTATAATGGCATCCTTCCAGTCCCTGGGTAGCTTAGCCTGCGTCAGAGACATTTGGAAAATCTCCGTAAGCGGAATATATATTATATCCGCCAAGGAAATTAACAGTTTAGGGTGGAGTCCATCCGGCCCAGGTGATTTACCTGGCTTCAGTTTAGACAGTAGTTTCAGAACGTTTGTGTGCTCTGGCACAATTGAGGGCATCTAAGTGGCGATGGCAGTGACCTCGCCATATCCCTGGGTGGTACTATCAGACGAGAAGACGTCACAGAAGTATTCAGAGAGGTTTTCAGCCTTTCCTTCGTCTGACTCAGCCGCTTCTCCACTAATGGTTATGAGTGACGGTATACCACTGCTAGTTTTAGTCCTACGTTTAATATACGAGTAAAACCTTTTTGGGTAATGAACGCAATCTAGTACTAATCGTCTCTCGTACTCTATACGACTCTTGTTAATCGCATACTTACAGAGGTTTCGAGTTTTGCGGTAGTCTTTCTGGAAGTTTTCCCTTCCTGTCATAACAAATTGGTCCCATAAGTTCTTTCGCCGTCTTAATAACCTCCTTATTTCACTAGTGATCCAAGGAGGTTCATGCGACGGCTTTCGAGGAGTGTACCAAGGTATAAAAGGTGAAGTGACACGATCTAGTGTATTCCTAAATCCTACCCAAGCTTCCTCGACAGTCTGACTTGTATCAACTGACCAGTCAACCACAGTTGCTGCGTTCCGGATTCCTTGTATATCCGCTTTCCAAATGTTTGGACGAGCAGATTTTGGCCTGTGCATGAGAGAATGAATCCTAAACGTAAAAGCAATGACTATGTGGTCACTGCTGCCAAGCGGCGGAAGGCACCTAATGTTACCAACGTCCTCCTTCTGGTGTGTCAATACCAAGTCTAGAGTAGATGGATCATGTTCAGGGTGATACCGTGTTGGTGCATGCATATGTTGCACGAGTGCACATTCAAGCACTGTCAATGTGAGCTCCCTATTGAAACAGGTATACAAACTAGTGGAGTTTAATTCCCCCCAATTAATATGTGGAGCGTTAAAGTCGCCAACAATCAGACACCTATTTCTACTACCCCACGCCCTCAAGTGATTTAGAACGAAGTCATCAGCTTGGCTAGCAGGACTTCTGTAGATAACTCCGATCGTTAAAGTGCCTTTGTTTAAGTTAATGATGCAACTTGCGGCTTCACTGGTGCCGCTGTCATGAGCTTCTGACAACGTTGACCTGATCCCTATGTCATCCCGGATGTAAAGAGCAACCCCCCCACCTTTCCGACTACTTACTCTGTCTGCTCGTATGCAGATATACCCAGGTATGAGTGGAGTTAAGTCTACACCCACTAACAACCACGTCTCAGTGATAGCAATTACATCAGGTTGTAGTCTTTCAGATAACTCTCCTAATTCGGCGAGCTTATTCCTAAGACTACATGCGTTCGTATAGCACACCGAAACACCTACGTGTTCACCCGGCTTATGAAGAGAGGTCTCGGCAGCATCGGTTTCCGAGACCTCACCACCCGAAAACCCAATAGTTTGAGGTCCTTCTCGCCTTTCTCTAGCCTGGCCTTTAGTTCAGCCACGGCTTCTCTTCTTTTGATTCTATCTTCCAAAGGCCAATCAGGCCTTATTTTTAGACTTTTGTCGTTGACTTTGAACGCGTTGTCGAGGATGGTCCTCCTCTCTGTTTCGTTCCCTAAAACTACCTTAAGTAGTCGTCGAGGAGTTCCTGTAGCATCAGGGTTTCGTTTTCCGATCCTGATAGCCTTTCGTACGTGTACTCCAGTTGTTTTTTCGGGAAGTATTTCCCGGAATATGGAGCTGATCGCCTTCAGATCATCTGCATGTCGGGCAGCTGGATCTGTGTTCTTAGATTCCTCCAAGTTCCAGATGATAATACTGTAACTAGAGTCCGTGGGTTTCTGAGTTTTGCTGGAACTAACAGTCGTCGAGACCTTGTTGGTAAACTCGGCTACTGTTTCTTTCCTAGTTTTGTTTAGCTTCTTACCTTTCGGCAGCAACCAAGTGGAGTCCGTTTCTCCCACTCTGTTTTCGCCGCGACTAGAAGCCATTCGTGCACTAGACACGCTGCGCTTTGGCGTTGCTATTTCACAGGCTGGTTTTGCCATGCTGGCACTACTTGCCCTTCTGGATTTCCGTTGCCTTTTGCGCTTTGCAGCAACAGATGTCTGGGCATTTTGTGCTTCTTTCGCTTCTGAGACTTCAGGAGGTGATGCACCCTGAATCTTACAACTATGTCCTGAACCGCCATCCTTGGCGAAGGTTTCTGGTACAGGCTTTTCAACTATGTCTTTCGACAATTTCTTGGACATCAAGAGTCCTACTGCCTCTTGGATGAGGACATCTAACGGGTTGCTGCAAAATTTGCACAGCCATGGAGATGATGGCTTGCAACATCTCTTATAGGCTACTGGTGTTAAACCAGTGCAAACTTTGTGGAACCAAAGGCTGCAGTTGTCACACTGCATCCCATCATCCACCGGAAAGTGGCAGTCCGGTCGACCACAATTGTTAGTTGGGGCCATAATTTTAATTTGTTACAACTATACAGTTATATATACGTCAAAACAGTGAGGTTAATGCCAAACAAATACACACTTATATATACGTGTGACAGCTAGGTAAATACCAACCAAAACACAAAATGTGAATAAAACAGACAACACTTGAACTAAATAAATCAGTTAAAGTGAACTAAAAGCTTCTGATGTGGTTTAAACAACAAAAGCAGAATTTACTTCACAACGTAAAAAATGCCACTCTCCTTTTTCAAAGCTTGCGCGCTGTGTCTAAAAAAATCACCGTCATGTATGACTTGCCAACTCTTACAGACTACCTCACATAGAGTGGTTGCATCTGATGAATACGTATTCATAAGTACATAACTATCAGTAGCCCGGCAATACTTTTTGAGAGTAATTATCCCTCCACATATTTATGTTTTAGTCTTCCCTATCAACTTGCTTTCCACAGAGTAGTCAGAATCCAAATCTAGGTGACATTTGCAACTAGGATTATGACTAGTATCCATTTGTAATGCTGAGCCATTTGATTGGTCAAATCAAGGTCATTTGACTTTGGTGCCTATTGTATACACTTAAAACTTTTTGCATATTTTAAGGTGTTGAGGTCAACTTGTCACTGGATGCTACTATAAGACTTATAGTCTTAATGTGATAGTTAACCATTATGGTGAACAAATCCTAATCAGAGTAGGTTATTCTGCCGGTGAACAATAGTACTCAAGTAATCTTCAGGTTTTCTTTCCATTGAACACCTGGTTTTATAGATACAGTGAAGTTATACTTTAAGCACCAAAACATACCAAAGCACCCCTGCTCTTGGAGCGCACATTAAGCAGGTTAGTGAACTCAGTCAAATAACACAATCACGAATAAGGTGTAATATGATATGGAACGGAATATCTGGTCATTTTTGTGTTATGTTTGAGGAAGATTGAATTGAGGTTCAGGCTAAGGAAAATCCAAGTCTGAGAGGTGTTTTTGTCACACGTCAGGGTAAGGGAAGGGATCCTGTATATTACTTCCATGCCCGTCTTTCTCATTCCGATATCCAATATGGTTTCTACGCGCTAGTATAAACCAGTTTGATTTCTTTGTGCTCGTCTCTCGATTGTGATGTATAGGTTCCTTATCTTCGGTAAACTTCTGCGTAGCTCGTCCCGTCACTCGACTGTCGTAGCTTTGGTTGACTCCAAAAGTAGTAATGCCGGGAT